TACAAAACGTAAAATGCTAAACTAAAATTTTGTATGTATTTCCCCATGGATCCAATGAACCTCCATACTAAATTTGATGAAGATCCATCTACAGGGGGCGAAGTAGTGGTAAAAAACACCCATAAACCCGCAAAATACAAAACTGAAAATATGTATGTACCCCCGCATAGAACTAATGAACCTCCATACCAATTTTGGTGAAGATCCATCCTCACCCTGCGAAGTAGTCACATGGACAGACAATACTATTATACCTAAAAAGATAAGTAGTGTCTAAATGTCCTACTTCGTCATTTTTTTTTTAGGTGTCTAGTTATCCTGGATTCGTATCGCATATATTTTCTTAAAAACATGTTATTAGAATTGTACAGATGACTCGTTAAGTGTGGCTCTGACAATGATTTACTGAGACGATAACGAAACAAAGAGTTTTCTTATCCCACTCTTCATTATTCATATAAACAAGATTAGCTGATGTTATTTTCTACTTTTGTTGATTCTATAGTGCAAAAAATATAGTTTGAGTACTTTTGTTTCACAAGAGCAGAAAATATATTACTTGTTTTATTTGTGCGTTACACGGAGTTATATTCTTTGCGGTATGAATTGGTATTGATTATTTACTAAAATTGCTCTTAAAACATGCTTGTTGCGGCGGGAAATTCCGTGAGAAATTGTAATCGCAGATTTGGGGCAAAACCTGAGCAAAAAAGTTGGCTGGGAATTCGTGATAAGTTAACCAACACGTTCATAAACATAAAAATCTTTAAATTGTTCGGAATATTAAAGTTGCATGCTAAACGGGCCTGAAACGTTCTTTTAGAATGAAATACAATTCAAGTAAGGTATAAATGTACTGTACATAGCTGTAAGATTAATATCATTGCAGTTTTACTTGGAAAAATATAGAATGGTGTATTTTAATGCTTAATTCGTGGTATTCTTACAAACGTTTTTTTTTTTTAATTTGCGAAAAGCAGAGCATGCGTCACAAAACGTATTCTTTTATACTTTAGCTACTAAAAAATTTAAAACATTTCGTAACGATCATGTACATAAAGTGAAAATATTCATATATATGTGTACAGATGTAGAAAAAAAAGCATTATTTGACCATAAGAGGCAAATTTGTTTATAGATTTTTCTAATGGAATATTGAGTAAATTGGTAGATTTTAACTGCAATTTCTACGAAACGTTTTTGAAAAATGTAGTTTCACGTGATTTCTTTGAAAATATCTATACATTGAAAATCTTAATTTGAGAAACAAACTAGTAATGAGGGGTTGAAAAACAGCAAAGGTATTCTTTGTATTAGGAACTTTTATAGAAGTAAAACTTAACGGAGATTTATTTACAACTAACAAATAGTACATTGCTGTATTTAATTGTTCAAAACGATATAATATCCTATAATTAAATAGGTCGGAATAGAAGATCTCGAGTCCGGCCTCTTGTTAGCTTTGGATAAAGTGACCAACGTTTAAAAATCAGTTATTTTAAAACCCCAGTGAAAATTAGTATGAAAACAAAACATTTATTACTACTTACGATGTATAATGTCTGTCACGTGCCGAACACGAGGCGCCTACTAAGCTACAGCTAAAGGGCATATTGAACCAAGTGGTTCTTGTTTAAGTCCAAACAGAAAAAAAAAATCTCAGAAAGACAGAATGAATGGAGACATAGTAGAAAGTAACGGCTCAGTTACAGAATAGCTAGGGTGAGAGAGGAGGGGGGGGGTATCTTTCTGGCACCGAACACAGTTAGCTAGGTCAATGCTCTCAAAACAGCGTCGTGAACGATGACTACTGCTACTATTCGGGTTTTAATCTGTTCTGTTCTTCTACTTTCAGTGTCAGCTACTGGCAACAACCCTGGGGAAGGAGAGTTGACTTGTGCGGACAAGAGAAAACTCCCCCAAGTTTCTGAGTGCGAATTGAAACGACCAAAGAAAGATTATGAGAATATTACCATTAGCAATGGAAGTAAAGAAGTTGATCCAGGTTGTGCCGTTTTGGTTCTGGACAAAAAGTCAAAAAATAATGTCATTGCTGATCACGAATTAGGCCACGAACAAGATCAAGAAATGCTAATTGATGATGCATTTCTTCCTTCTCGCAGGCGCGTGCCTCAGTTGTGGAATCCGCGCATGCGTTGGAAAGACGAACGACGTAAGGTCTTAAAGCTATCTCTGAACAAGCTGCGCCGTATCAAAGACCCGGAGATATTTCTGTGTCGCTCAGTTCTCATCAATAATACCGTCAAACATTTACAGAAAGAGATCCGTGAAGAAAAAAATGCCCGCCACCATGCAGTAGGAAGAACAAGTTATATCTTAGGTTCTTGTTCCTCCTCCGCTAACCCAGACTCGTGTGAGCCCCACTCAACATCTAAGAGCTGGAGTTTCGATGCCGAGCCAGCTGACATAATTCCGCGAAAGTCTCTAAGTGATTCGGTTTCATTTTCTTCAGTAAGTAGTACCGAAGAAGGTATTCCTAACTATGATGAACTATTTAATCTAGAAGAAGTTTTGCAAATTGATGAACCTTGTAGACAATCCAAATCTCATGCGGAAACGGCTTCTGGACAGTTAACTGGCTGTTACTCAGTTTCTTGTACGTGCCCAGTTTCCAGCAGCGATAACGAGTGTCCCAAGCACGTTTATTCATCAAGTTGCAGAGGGAAAAACCAAGATGACCGCAGTTCTCGGCGTCCGGCCTCGCCCAACCCATGCGCTACACAGTACCGTATCAATCATGATTCATACCGTTCAGACGCACCATCTCAAGGCACGTCAGTCCTAGACTCAGTTGTGTATCAAAGTTTGTTAGCGTCATTGGAAACGTGAGGTGAAACGAAAAATTTTAAACAACTTTTGTGTATGACAGCTTAAAAATAACCTGTCTTGTGATGCTACAGGATCTCTTACGTTTTCTTTTTCTTCACACAATCTTTGTAATAGATAGCACTTAGGTGGAGACATATTAATATATATCCACGAAAAATTTTATTATTGCTTCACGTTTCCCACGTGTTTGGTTAGGTGTGTGAAGAGAGAGATCGTGAGCTACGATATAGTTTGTTAGCCCGGGAGTATCGGTCCTTTCCATTACGATCAGAACCGATGAATGAACCAACTGTAGAAGCCTTATTTACAGGAAAGCGATTCCTCGCACCATATGAACCATGAAATGTTCACTAGTTTTCACATCAAAACCGGCTTTCCATCGGATACAATTTTCGCACCAGTCTCGCCCTCTCCTGACTTCCACTGACAATAATTAAAAATCTAATTTAGTTAATTTGATTAGTTTATAACTGTAGCATATTTAAGTTTTGAATATATTATATTGATTCTTGTTTGTATTATTAACAACTAGTATTGCTTAGTTTATTTTTTGTGTTGTATCTTGTTAAGTAATCGCCAAATATGTATGTTTCTTCGTTTTCTACCTGAACCGTTTTTTAAGCAACTTATCAAGCAGTTCCAATATTATTTTCTGCTAATGTTGCTAGGTTAGTTCTTTTAACAAGTGAAGAACTCCAACAAAACCTTTTGGCGACACTAATAAGCTCGAGGTTGTGTGAGTTTACGCTACAAGTACGAAGGTGTGTGCTGTCTGCACGATGAGGAAACTAAAATGTCCGTAGATATATATTGGATACACCATTTTCATAATAAATAATTGAAGTAAAATATAATAGTTAAATAAACATCTTTTATGCCCCAGGATATCTCGATTATTTATTTTAATGCACTTTTGGAATTTTGCATTAATACACACGATGATTGGATAACGGCTTAATTCGTTAGGTCGTTATTACTTTGTCTGACAGCAATTCAGATAATTGTTAGTAAAACGCATCTTCAAAGATTTAAAGTTACAGTTGTTAGTATTAGTTAATTTACTACATTTAAGAAATACATTTATTTACGAAGTTACAATTCACCTGTTGTCAACTTATTTTGTTAAATACGTGTTTGTGTTCATTTACCAAAGTAAAGAATTAAAGTTAGATTTGTTTACAAGCTATTACGAGTTATTTTCTTATTTAGCTTTATACGTGGTTCTTTGATTTTAAAACACGAGGTATCTAGTCATACCTATGTTCTATAACGAATCCATATTTTCTGTGTTTCGGTGTTTTTGTTTTCGTCGATTAAATTTAAAAATTACATTTTTCATTCGCAACAACACAGAGTTAGCTAAATCCCCTTCAGTGTTGGAACACCAGACAGAAAATAAATGTACCTTGCTGTTAAATATATTAAGATATTATGGTTAACAGATGTATCTTTGAACTTTCCCAGTAATGCCTATATGTGGCGAACTTCGACTTGCTTACTCGCTTAATGAGGAGGCCTGAAAGAAGTCACGTGATCAACAATGGGTTTTTTTTTTCTACGAGCGCAAAATCTCTCTTGGTTTCGTTAAATATAGCCACCGTGGTCTGAAAAACGTACGCGTATGCATTGTTGTATCTCAGCTAATATGACAGTCTATTTCATGTACGGATGAATATAGAAATCTGAAAAACTGACTAGAGTGTTTAAGAGTGAAAGAAAATAGGAGTGAATTATTATTCTACTTACGGTATTTATAGCAAATGAAAGCAACACACACAGTTTGATTACGTATTGTGCAATCACAACACGTCTTTCATTCATGTGTTTTAAGATGCCACATTTGTTGAATATAAAACAAATTTTCCCCTGAAGAATACAGTTTAAAGAATAATTCAAATAAGGAATGGGTTTTTGTAGGAACTTTCAGCCAGTACACTGTGTGGCAAACATATGTGCTAATTATTAAGTTTGTAAGGAAACAGGAAACAAGTGGGCGCCGCAGATCATTGATACATAACTCCATCTTCCAGCGAGAAGAAAAGAAAAAAAATAATAATACCGTTTTCTTGGGCCAGTCATCAAAGAATACTGGTAAATATTATTTGTTTGATGCAGTTCATTCTTTCAGTTCTTGAATTTTTCGACCCAGTAAATTCACACTTTTCACACAATCCTTTTTTTCAATGAGGATTCATTATCAGCTAATTTTACGTGAACCAGATTCTTGCCCTGTTAATTTATGTTCAACGGAGCCACTGCGTTTTGTTTTTAGTTATATTTTTATTGTTGTTGTCATTTTATGTGTTGTACGTTGTTTATGGTCCTCTCCACTGTCGCAACATAATTGTTATATTGCTGGAAATTATTAATTACCATGGTGTACCGTCAACAGCTTCCTGTTGTATATATAAATTTGGGGCTGTCGAAACTTGTACGAAGATTTTAATGTTATATATTTAGACACTAAAATTTCAGTGTCGTGAGGTTGTCAGTATTCTTCTTTTTTAAAATCTCATTAATATATGAAATGTGTGGTTGAGTTCTGAGAAAAATCGGATTTCAGGTACGCTTAAAATCGGCAAAAGGCATTTGGGAAGGCATGTTCTTAAATTACTTAACCCACAGTTCGTAGAAGTTTATTACAAAGAATAACGTGAAAATAATCATCTGTCGATAGGCATATCTGTTTATCAGTCGAATCTCAGGTTTGTAAGTTTTCGTTTAAAAAAAATGATGTTGTTATGAGGAAAGCCGATAGTATTCAAGGTACTTATTTTCCAAGAAACTTTACAGAGCAGCTCAGATGATGCCGATGCTTTCTTGCCAATGGCTTGAAAAAGTATTTAAAAATTGTTCAATCAAATATTCTTACAGACACTATGTTCCAAGTTGTGCAATGCTCATTTGTTTGTTACTATTAGGCAAGCTGCAATATTCAATTACTAAACCTAAATATGTTTCACCTCTTCATTTATTTTTTGAGAAATAAAAGTATGGTGTTGTTTTCAGTTAAACTCATTGGCTATAGCAGGGAATCATTGTCAGACATGACAAAGTGTTGTTTTTTCATGTATTTTGTCAGCTAACTAAGGAGTTCATTTTTAGCATATCAAGAATTTTTTTTTTCACACTCTTTAAAATAATGGCGTTTGTCTGAATAAGTTTCTTATGCTTTTTGACTATTTTATTTTCTGTATGTGTTACAGGTTTGATAGTTACTGTGAATTTACACTTAATAATTAGTGTATTTTCATACATTAAAGTGTAACACTATAAAGGCTTGTGTTATATTTCTTTATTTTAAACAATTCATGAAGTAAGTTGGAAACCGTTCACCTCCCGTGTGTGTGTGTACATCACGTCAGCGCTCGTCAAATTCTCAATTTACACAGTTTTTTTTTTTTAAAGAAAGTTTTCCGAATTTGACGAAATATCTACCATCATATTATACGGACAGGTGCAGAGAAAAGATAACTATTACATCTTTATTATAAGTTATGGTTTAAAAATATTTTAAATAAAACTGTTTCGTTTTGTTTGCAGTCTTTAATTAGTATTATATAAGGTTAATCTCGTGATCTTACGATATACACAAACTATCCACATTTGAAAGCTTTGTGTAGCCAGCGATTAGATACACAATTCACTTCTACACTTTTATAGTACGGTATTGTTGTCACGTGGGGGTTTTATAGTTTTGCTGCGAGGTTTACTAGAGCACAATATTGATGCTAGCGGCTGGCCGCGATAAACGTTTGTAAATTTTCTATATTAACAGGAATGCGTTATACTAATTATGATAAATAAGTGAATTAAATACTTGTTATAATTTTTGATACTGAAGAAAAGGTTACGCATCCATTCCATCAAGACAATATTACATTTTTCTCTGTGGTAATAATTATGAATAACTGTTGAAAAACAAAGCAGTCGCATCATAATTTGTATTTCATAGTGTTACGTCTCTGTTCGTTAGTTAATTTTCCGTATAATTTCTTCCCGAAGA